CCAAACTTTGCACACATAATTTATATGAAATTTTTTTTACTGTTGTTTAAAATTTTATTCAATTCGGTCAATTCTAAGAAAAGTTATTAGCGAAACAAATTCTCGCCAGTACAACCCCCACAAACTGCAGCAACAAGTTCGCTCTTCTTCTTCCTCTTTTTGCTGCTGCTGTGGGCGCATATAACTCAGTGACGGAAGTTTACCTGGGTACAGGGTATTACACTGTCGGGCTTGCTCGACTGTAGCGTTCTCTCTTGTTTTTATTGTACGAGAACATTGAAAAGTATTGGGACAGGAAATTCGAAATGCTCCACTACGGATATATTCCCATCACAACTATCACTAAACACTTGGAAAATTTTTCATATTTTCTATACTCCATTTATGTACTCGACGGATTTCAGGGTGTACGGCTTACACGTATCCGTCTATTCGCCTTTCCATCTGTTCGTTCGTATGAACGCCGATACTGTTCGAACCATTCTAGCTAGGGACCCCAAACTTGTAAGATAGACTTGACTGGTCTATATAGTATATAGTATATACCAAGCTTATTATAAACCATACATACCCATTATTTTACGAGTATATAGCTGCCATGCGACCGTTCAAGTGAACAAATCACGCTTTGTGGAATAACTGTGCTTATTAAGAAATCATAGCGTATCTGAATTTTACATTAAAATCGGTGCAATTACGAATACATATGTATATTTTCTATATCTGTCTAAGTCGTTGGCCATCTGTAAGATGCATTTAGCGTTTAGCACACCCTACCTCTTAGATTATTTCCTGTCAGAAGTTTAAAAGAGACTGGAAGTCCCTTTGCTAAAATTCTTCTTCTCTTCTGAATATTTTGCGGAGAGATCGACAATGTTATTGCAGAGAGGTAAAGTACTTATCGCGATTTACATTTTAATTACATGGTTGAAAACATACAATTTTCTAAACACATAATAAAATACAAAAATTTTAGTTATGAGCTCAAATAGCGAGCCATAAAGCCAGCTACAAAATATACATTCTGAGCACGATTTTGATAAACAAGGAGTCTGAGAAAATAATAATTATATTCTAGTTTTTAGAATTGCTTAATTTTCAGTTGAGTTGAATATTAAGGCTGTTGTATTGTATATGTCGGATCTGAGGTTAAATATCTGGCAGAAGGTCGATCCATGGCTGGAAAATGATCCAGTGATAAGACTAGCGTGCTTTCAAGCACCCAGCAATGAGCCATGTCCTTTGCACATCCACTGCAAACTCGAGCCTATCGAGCCCAACAATCTTCCAGCCACAGTTCTCCACTGTGAAACAATTCTCGAGAAGGTCATGGCAATGTACGTGGCTGAGACGAGCAAAGAGACCGTTGCATGGGCCGAGGGTGGCTTAGAAACTGAAGTTGACCTTTTGATGTACCTCGTGTTGACTATCTTGGCAGTCGCATCCTTTGCCAGCTATTGCTGGTATCGCTGGATGAACAGAAGTAAGCAACTTGGCAACATGCTGCAAATGGTACTGTAGAGATTTTCATTCAATTTTTATTGTTTGGCCGGCTCGAGGTCAGAGTGAGAAAAACCAATTTATTTAATTTTCTTTTCTTTTTCCGATATATTTCGGTTACGCCACGGTAACCGTCTTCAGGGCAACTACAAAACATATAACATAATTAACATATTAAAACTATAACACAAAAATTTTTATATAATTACTTATTTAAGCAAGTCTGCTCTGTTTGACTTGGAGTTACTAACTAACAGGTGTCTGTAAATATGCGCGCAATTTTCGGTGTCTGCTTTGTAGTTAATTCTGTATTTGTTAGGTGTGTTGATAATGTGTAGCGTTTCGAGAGTGAATCGCTTACTGTAGTGTCGTTCTTGTTGAAGTACTTTCGTTTCTTCAAAGTTGGGGGTGTGTCCAGTCTCTATGCAGTGGGTTGTTAGAGCAGTTTTTTGTGTCAATGTTTGATGCCTTAGTTTGTAGTCTGACTTGTGTTGTGATATCCGTGTTTTTAGTTTCGACTTAGTGGTTCCAATGTAAAATCTCCTACATGGGTTGTCGCTGTCTCCGTCACATGGAATTTTATAGACTACGTTATTCAGGTCCATTTCTTACCAAAATACTCAACGATTTTCATTCAAGATATAGACATATAGTGCACGTATTGTACTTGTATGTATAAGAGCTGGAATACTCTCGAATATTTTAAGAAGCTCGAACTCAACAATTTCTTCAGAATTGCTGTATGCATACAATTTCAATTAAAATCAATTTTTTGTTAAATAAATTATTGAACGGGGTACCAGGAGCTGTGGAGAATAATATTCACGATAAAAGGAATCTGAATCTGAATCGATGACAACGACTCTAATTGGAGGTCTGCGTGGCTGCGTCCGTTCGCTTTAATAGAGAGAAGATGGACAATTGATTTATGAATGTATGTACAAGTATAAATAAATGAATGAGGCGTGCACTATTGAAACCGGAAACTGATAAAGCAACAGTCCCGCACCAAGTATTTCTTAAAGGGAACTCCAGGAATACCAGGGCACAGGATCGAGCAATACAAGAAGCATTACACTATGTCGCGTACTTCTTTTAAGATACTCCTAAACAGATGCATGCATTTTTTTAACATTTTCCAGGCATTTTTCCTTGCAATTGCAAAAGTGTTGCCTTCCACAATTTGGCTTTTGGGCAACCTAGAATATTTTCTGTCGGTAAGCGACTCATTCAACAGGAATTGAGAGCCGTCGGTAATTTTTCAAGGTATATGCGACTACGACTCACGATTCATCGATAAAAATATTGGACAGCCGACAGTTTTAAATTATTTATCGTTTTTTCTATTTAATGCAATAATATAGACGACCTAAGAATTTACATTTTATTGGACTCCTCAATTGCTGCTCTTATCCCCTTTTAAAGATTGGTTTTGCTTCTTTTCAAAAGCCAAACCTCTTAGGTTTGAAAATAGTGCTCTAGTGCATATGTATATTAGCTACCATTGTTTCTGGTCTGCTGTAATCACTCCAACTGGCAGTTTCACAAAACGGGTTTTCATCCGGATCCATCTACCGAAGCCTCTGCATCTTCCAACCCGCCATTAATATCCAGATGTGAAGCTATTTCGAACCTTCATCATCATTTCATGATTTTGCTCCAGGCGTAAAGTTGTTTGCTGCAGTCTTCAGTATATAAACAAGAAAGGAATGCTCAACTCTTCCATACTCTGTACCCACTGCCAAAAATAAGAAACAAATTGGAAATTTTAAAAATTAATTTTAAAAAATTAAATTAATTAAATATAAATTATTAAAACATACATACATAAGTGCAAACATATGTGTAAAGTACAGAATTAAGTCAACAAACAGCAACAACAACAAAAAAGCTGCGGGCAGATATTACATTTATGGCATACAAGTATAATCACTAACTACCAAATTCGAGTGCAAAATTCCAAGATTTAGTTCAGTTATAGAAAATTGCAAATAGCGGGGTGTGGGGGGTTGTATCGGAAAAATAAACAAACTTATATTTTCTGAGATCCTTCCAGACAGATGGAAAGGCAGACGGCTATGTCGACTCGTCTTGTCACCCTGGTCAAGAATATATGTATATACTTTGTGGTGTCTGCCACGCCTCCTTCTGTGCATTACATGTACACTCTCGCACAAAGCTAATATACCCTTTGGGTACAGGGTATAGAAAATGTCCTGTTTAAGTCGTATATGTGTTATAAATTTCCAAAATTGCGCTCCATCTTCTGGATAGTGTATTCACTCTTCTCCATGTTGTTCAGAACTTTACGCAAAATATATATTTTTAAAACTCGAACTAATTTCAAATGTTTTTAATATAGAGAGCAATGGCATTTGCATTCCAAGTACATATATTGTGGTGCTATCTAAATCAGCATCTCATAAATTCCCAAGGGCGTAGGCAGGGGGGCAGGGGGGTCGTTGCGCGCCCTACAAAAAATGTTGCCATATAAAGTCGACCGCACGTTTATTATTATGACGCACTATTTCGCCTTAAAATGGATCTGAGTTGGATTTGTTGAAGTTTTTTTCATTGATCATATGCATAAATTGTTTTTTAAATGCATCGTGCATTATTTAATCAAAATTTTAATTTTTTGGCCCCCCCTTTGGTAAAAGCTGCCTACGCCCTTGTCAATTCCCATGGCCTTGTAAGCTAGATAGTTGCGATTGCCTTAAACTATTTTTATTGCACGGCCACATCCGACCCGCTTAAACGATAGGCGTGACAAAATGCGTTCTTATTCGCAATATCGAGTGAAAACTTGATGGCTCGACATGATAAACCTGTCAAGATAGGTCTGCCGCTGCTATTGTTGTTGTGACCGTGGCAGGATGTTTCAGTCCTTATGTTGTCGCTGTTGGTACATTTCCTGTTGTTGTTCTTGTTATTGGCGAGCCAATGCCACTTACTGGCCGAGCAAATTTAATTGGCGCTGCCAAGACCAGCAGCCACAGCAGAAGTAGCCGAATCGTCGATGGAACTTAACTGCCGCCACGGTGCGGGGCTCTGGAAAAATATTGAACTGTGAAGCCAGGACATCGGCTGATAACATTGTCAAGACTTCCACAGGCTAAAAGTGAGCAGAAAAACGACATAAAAGAAAACCATGGAAATGAATTTTAAAAAATGGGCAGCAGCTAGCGTGAAAAAAGGCCATCGAATTGACTCTGAAATTGATTTGCATGTTGCGGGGCGGGCTTATCGTGTGAGTGTGCATCTGTGTTGGTTCGAAGCAAAGGTGCGCCTGCAAATATCCTCATAAGTCAGCTTGAGCTATAGTAGTCTTAAGTTCTGCATTTGTAGATACATATATACTTGTATGTAGGTAGATATATGTAGTGTGACAGCGGAGGCCACATTTCACGTATGTATGTTATGCAAGTGCATTAGCAACCCAATATTGGATTCTGGTCTATTCGTACTTCACTCTAATGCTTTCCCCTCTCTAATTTCAGTGTGCAATGCTGGCCCGCATGAGAAACGTTTGCTGCACGCGCTACTCGACAACTATAATAGCTTGGAGCGGCCTGTGGTCAATGAATCCGATCCATTGCAATTGAGTTTCGGTCTAACACTCATGCAAATCATTGATGTGGTGAGTAATAATATGCTGATGCTGTTGCTGTTGCAGCTTTAGTTGCATGGTTGCATGGTCACTTGGTGTGCAGGTTGTTGCACAAATATTCATTGCTGGTAAGCCAGCAATTTGTGGCTACCTAACATTCTGTGACAGAGCTTCTCAATACTCCTAAATACCCTGCACCCATTACATAAAACAGAAGTGAAATGTAACTAAATTTAGTCAATTAAATTAAATTAATTAAACATAAAATATAATTATAAACAAAACTCGAACGCCGAAATTTATGTACAGTTGCATTGTACATCAGAAATTCGCATCGAGGCTTTGTCGATGAGCGTCTATGAGCGTGAGCGTGTGGGTGTCTTTGTGTTCAGTACAGAGTAGAGTAGAACACGGGCCGTGTCTTCGGTGTGCGTGTGCATTCGTGTTTGTGCGTGTTCGTGTTGAGCCAAAAAAGCACGACTAAACACGCACGTGCAAACACGAAAAAACAATAACTAACATGAAAAAATTAAAAACTAAAGTAACAAAAAGAACAAATATTGAACAAATAATCGCAATGTATCGATAATTCGATCGCTTTTAGCATTTGTTCAGTAAATATTTGGAGTTATTATTAAATCAACCTTTTAAGGATATTTTAAGCATTTCTCAAATTCCGATAAAAAGGCTAACGTAGTTTTCACATTACAGTCGATACAAGCTGAAATAAATGAAGGCTTAAATAGCGATGTAATATTTGAATCAGAAACCCAAGCACCAAGTCATCACGACTTTTTTGAAAATCTAATAATTTAAAAAAAATAAACTAGGCAGGTCAAGAATAGATATTGAAATAGATAACTATATAGGTAGTGCTGTTGATTCAAGAAATTCAGTGTTATATAATATAAACGAATAAACGCTAATACAAACATCAAGACATGTGTTTACTATATCTGCAAGCAAATGACCGATTTTTTCCACTTCTGGAGAAAAAAACTTAAACTTGCTCTGCTTAGGGCTTAGGGGGAACCTAAATAGCAAGTTTGGTTCTTTTAACGCCTATACTTTCTGAAATCCTTGCGTTCACTCAGACGGACAAGCAGACGGGCAGACGGACATGGCTATATCGACTCGGCTTGTCATGCTGATCAAGAATATATATACTTTGTGGGGTCTCCCACGCCTCCTTCTGTGTGTTCCATGTACACTCGCACAAAACTAATATACCCTTTGACACTTTGGGTACAGGGTATAAAAATTATAAAAAGCATCTTACTTGTATAAGCTAGAAAAGCCTAAGAAGGAGAAATCAAATCAAATAATCAAATTACAATAATATATAATTAACGCCTCTGACCCGGTGGGGGAATATTATTTGCCCTTCGGCTAGCTGTGCCCCGTCTCTCAGCCAAGTGTGGTCAGAGGCGTATAAAATAGATCTACCGGTATAAAAAAACAAAAACTTAACTGGGAGAAGAAGCTTCTCTATTTAGAACGTAATTTTGCAAACTGTTTTGTTATTATCAAAATACTGACATTTTTACATTTTGTAGGCTAGATCAATGTTGATTTTAAAAAGTGAGGAGTAACTGATTGAGAACACTTAACGCTTCAACGTCCACTATCTTTTGATTAACATTCATACTCGTATTTAAATAAGAAATTGAATATGTTTTACAATGAAAAATGAATTGGGTATGGAAATATTCATTTGTACTTTACAATGTTTTTTTATTTTATTTTATTTTATTTTTTTTTTTTTTGAGTGTGGCCCACAAAAAGTGAGTGTGAGACTTGACTGCTTATTTTAAAGTGGCTCAGAATAATCTGATATTTAATCGAAAGCCGCTCACTGTATCATATACTTGTAGCTGCCACAGAAATGATTGGAACAGCGAAGTTTCTTTGCGTTGATTGACAGTAGCGGCAAAGGGGATTCAAGTGTTGCGTGCGACTTTAACCTTCTACTCATGGTCTTCCATGAGAGCTACCGGATTTTGTATTTTATATATTTTATTATATTTTATTTTATATTTATTCTAGAGCTACGAAGCGACTGCTTACCACCTTTAACTTATTGCTATTACATACATTCAAATACAAATGTGTGCATCTAATTTATTGCATACTTGCCACTAGTTGACACCCGTCGCCAGACGCTTAAGCATGGCGCATCGTTATCATTATCGTCATAGCCATCATCATCATCATCAGCATCATCATCATCATCTCGATTGCCGTCAGTGTCGAAAGGCAGATGATTAATTTGAAATGTCACGTTGTTTGGCAGCTGTCGCTGTTGCGTTTAAACGCTAATTTCTGATTTGATGGTAGGCCATGGAGTATGCCTTCGCCATTTTGTAGAGTAGTTTTGTAGAGCCGCCGATGTTGGTTGTTCCTGATGGTCCTGATGGTGTTGTTGTTTTTGTTGTTGTTGCCAGAGTGACAGCAATGTCGTTGGCTTTGCCATTTCGGTTTATGTGACACATGTGGCCCACTCAGAAAGGCGGCAATCGAGCGACAGACGGGCACATCGTCTGACTGTGCGTGTTTGTATCTGTGTGTGTGTGTGTGTGAGTGTTTGCGTGTGTTTTTTCGACAGCAAAATGCCATTTTATGCCATTTTTCATCATATCTCGGCAGCAGTTCGTTTCGCGTTGTCCTTTTCTGTACCTTTCCTTATGCCATTTAAAGCTAAAAGCTGAACTCAGCTGACAGTCAACAAACATTTTGGCAAACGATGCCACGACATCAATATTTCTGTGCATTGACTTTACTTTACGCTCTAAGCGTACATATCTACATATAGTATACAGAATATAGTATATAGTATGTATTAATATACAGATGCGACTGTGCTTGGTGTGTATGTGTGTGTGTGTGTTTGTGTGTGTGTGTATGTGTGCGTATCTACACTACGTACATACACTTTACTGCCAACAACAACAGCATTAAGCGTTTGCGAGGAAGCGCAAACAAAATTATGGCATGAGTGCACATTATTGCCATTAGGCAGAAGTGCCAAGTTGTGTGCGCAAGTGTAAAGGATTATGTGTGTATGTGTGGTCTTCATTTCTATGCATGAATTAATGGCCACTATGCCAAACGACGACACACTCGTAAACTGGCAGCGACACTTCTTACGAAATTAAAAAACAACAATAGCAAAAACAAAAGGACGCGACAAAGAGCCCCCAGAAAATATGTTTAATGTCAACTTCTGGTCGCGTTAAGTTCGCGCTCGCAGCTGCTCGCCGTGCTCAATGGCGCGTGACGAAGATGTCGGGTCTAAAGTGTGTGATAAATTTCATTGAAATTTCACCAAACAACAATTTCCAACAACGCCAGCAAAAGAACAACAGTTATTAATGTAAGCGACTGCGAGCTTGCCAATCATGGCGTACCCGAAATTAGCGAAAAGCTGTAAAGGCAACCTAACAAAAAAAAAAAACTTTTATTTAGAGATGGACCCAAACATCGCATCACGCTTAAAAAAACAAACACAATACCCTATACTTGAGTGCTACAGGAGTATACTAGGTTTGTGCAAAGTGTAACACGCAGAAGGAGGCGTGGCTCTGCCACAAAGTATATATGTACATAATTGTATTCCTCATCAGCTTTCGTGTGTCTCTTGGAATTTCAATATTCAATTTCATTATTCAATAATTCTATTGATTAGCCACGTGCTAATTTTTATTATGGCAATAGCAGCACTGAATAAAGATATAGTACTAGCTGATAACATAAACTCTTTCCATGACTTGCCAACAGTTGTTATTATTGTACTTAAAGTTCAAGTTTAGTTTTTAACAAATTAAAATTAAAATTCCGACCGTTCTGCGGTTATATATCTTTGCATTATGGATTTCGTCGTGTTACACTTTCACCATTTCTGGGTATCATTATAGGATAATGATTGTTCTTTGTTTGCTTCATCTGAATTAAATTAAATTAAATAAATTTTAGGCAAATTATTTAAATATTTGTGAGTTTTTTTCATACAACAAAAGAAATAAACCCTCACGCACATTTTTAAACGAAAGCATAAGTGTAATTAAAATGATTATTAATGAAATTAAAGATTCTTATAAATGTTGAGGATGGTGCCAACATTTTAATTTCTAATTAATTTCCAGAATCCAGAACCAGTCCTGACTCCACAATGTGTTTATATTTTTTTTTATCAGTATAGACGTGTCTCTCTAGACCAATACGCCTGTCCGTCGGAAGTATACACGATAGAGCAACTAAAATAAATATGGGAATTCCCATATGCCCCATGTTGATTCACAGAAGATGTACCCCTACTCCCCATCAATTAGTTCTGTTCTTTCGCATAAATATTTTAAATATACATATGTATAAATGAAATAATTAATCGTTGAGTTTATTTAACAAATTTAATGACTGTCCACGATGGACCGTTTTAAATAAAAACACACTGTTGATAAAAAAAAAAAAAAAAAACAAATGTATATCTAAAACATCTAGAGTCATCAAAAGAAACGTTTAAGTTTCTATCCCATGCGCCCTGTAATTCATCAAAGTTTAAATAATTTCTGATCTGCTTCAACACTCTACTAGTTTTAATTATTTATTATGCTTTAAAATACTGGAATCAGAAACAATCAATTGCTTTAAACTTTTCACGCCATTCACGCTCACATCATTCGACAGCTTCCACTCGAGACTCCATACGTTCTGCCACACATTCCCTCCAAAACCTGCCCCAAGGCAGTGCATATGCAAGAGTCTGCGGCTTAGTTGCGGCTTGTGTGGCGCTAGTTGTGGCATCATCGCATATTTTTAGCTTCATTTTGAATAACTTGGCGTAAATTCAATAAAAGCGCCTGTGTGGCATTAATAATAATAACACCATCATGATCAGCAGCAGCAGCAACAGCAACAGCAACAGCATTTCAGATGATAATAATATTAATGAGCCATCCATACAAAAATCGATTTAATTAATTTGTCAGCAAATTGGCAAGTTTTTAACCATTATGCGAGCCTGCCACATAGGC